AGGGAATGCTAAAATTGTAATTGGGTGTGGTTCCTCAAACGGCCATAAGATGGAGCCAGAAACCTGGGTTGTTAGTTCTGTTGTTGCTAGATGTTGCTAGATGTTCTGATGTTCGATGTTGGTTGGTTTGCATTTTTCTCTATTGACTGTTGCTGAACATCGTTATTCTTGGATTGATGTGAGTCTATTACTGAACTGTTTTTGATACTGGACTTTGATTTTTGATTATCCCTGGACTGAAAACTGACTGCTTTAACCGTGTATGACTTGGACTGATTGTTGGGCTTTGCTTAACTTTTTACTGGAAGTAAAAACTTACATTTTACTATACAGTGTATCTGTGTGCTGGTTGTGTGTTATTCCTCACCACTCTCACTACGTCTCCCTGTGTGCGCTCATTCTCCTAACGGGGAATTACTTCAACAGGATGCACAGCCCCCCTGCCCTCAGTTTTTGCTCCCAGGAGGCTTCCCTGAGGCCCAGTAGGGGGAGAAAGTTCACCCAGACACATGCCCACCTGGCCATGCCCACAGAACTGGTAGTTTAAAAATTTGCATCCCACCCCTGAGCACCTATACTTATATACCACTTCACAGTGCTTTACAGCCTTCTCTAATCAGTTTACAGAGTCAACATATTGGCCCCAACAATTGGCTCCTCATTTTACTGACCTCAGGAAGATGGAAGGCTGAGTCACCCTGGAACTGGTCAGGATTGAACTCCTGGCACTCAGAAGAATTAGCCTGCGATACTGTATTCTAACTTTTGTGCCACCACAGCTCTTTCCCTTCATTTAGTGACCATTCAAAGTTACAATAGCATCGAAAAAAAGTGACTTATGACCCATTTTTCACACTTACGACCATTGCAGCATCCCCATGGTCATTGATCAAAATTTGGATGCTTGGCAACTAGTATGTATCCATGATGGTTGCAGTGTCCAGGGGTCATGGGATCCCTTGCCTTTTGCGACCTTCTGACAAGCAAAGTCCATAGGGAAGCCAGATTCACTTAACAGCCGTGTTACTAACTTGAATAGCTGCAGTGATTCACTGAAGGACTGCTGCAAATTAGGTCATAAACTGGGGCAAAACTCAACACCTGTCTTGCTTAGCAACAGAAATGTTGGGCTCATTTGCGTAAGTCGAGGACTACCCGTAAAGGAAGAGGAAGGAAAAAGGAAAGCAACCTGCAGCTCTATCCTGCACTAGAAAAAGAATCAGAACAGGAATGGAGCTGGAAGGGACATCTAGTCCAGCCCCCTGCTCAAGCAGGAGATCCTACACCATTTCAGAGCAGTGATTGTTTAGTCTCTTCTTAGAAACCTCCAGTGATGAAGCATCCACAACTTCTGGTGGCAAACTATTCCACGGATTAATTGTTCTCATGGTTAGGAAGTTTCTCCTCAATTCCAGGTTGCTTCTCTCCTTGATTAGTTTTTTGCCTTCTCCAGGCTCCTGAGGTAAGCCTCTAGGAGGGCAAAACCGGTCTCCCCAGGCCCGTTTCTGGCTTTCCGGCACTTCCATTTTTAACTCTCCCCAGGCTCCAGAGGCTCTCTGGAGGATTTTCTTGAGCCTCTGGGAGGCTTGTTACCCCCTCCCCAGGCTCCGCTCTCTGGAGGCTTTTCTTGAGCCTCTGGGAGACCCATTTTCCCCTTCCCCAGGCTCCCGAGGCTCTCTGGATGCCAGAAACAGATTTGTTTCCGGCCTTTCAGAGCCTCCGGGAGACCCATTTTTAACCCTCCCCAGGCTCTGGAGGCTTTTCTTGA